GCGAGCTCAGGGCTCAACGCGGTCGTCCCCCGCCTTCACCTGCGGGAAGGTGGCTTTACCTGAAACGGTGTTTTCTTTTGCCAGAAACCTTGCCCGCTGCCCATCCTCGCGACCCTGCACTACCCGTGAGGGCCTGCAGCGCGGGGGGCGGGGGGCTGCCCCCCTGGGGCCACTCAGAGAGCCTCGCTTTGGCAACACGGTGGTCTTTCAGCCACGGGGAAGGCACGGGCCGCTCCTTGGCCTCTTCTGAGCTGCGCCCACGGGGCCCTGAGGAGACGCAAACACTGGGGGGTTAGGCTCTATGAGCGGTTCTCTAGGAACATTCGGGGAACCCTGGGGTTCCTGAGACCCTCTCGGCAGGCTCCTCTTCTGATGTGGCAGCAGGCCAAATGCTTTTTGCCTTCTATTCTCTCTTGAGGGTCTGGTGGAATCTTCCAGAAGCTCCAAGAGGTGGGGATGCAGACTTGGGGATTCCTCTTGTGGTTTAAATTTTAAGTTCTTCGCATAAACTAGAGCTCTTCAGCGTCCTCGATACGTTTGCAGAAGTTCCCAAGATGAAGAGCTCTAGAGCTGCCTACCACACCTGTGCAGGTGAGTGCCAGCCCGGCGTCCTCACCTGTCCAGCCACAGCGGCCTTGAAAACTGTTTTCAAGGTGCGTTGCCTGAAAGCCCTCCTGGCCTTGCATGTGGTGACAAATAGGGCTGACAGAGTGGGGCGAAGGCTCCCCTTCTCGCCTCACCTGCGCGGTGAATTCCCACATTTCCCGAGCGCCGGCCGGCCGGCGCCCTCCTCTCCCAGCACCCCGGCCTTGGGGTCTCGCGCGAGCTTGCCCCTTCTCCACAGCCCCGTGGCACAGTGCCCTCGCCCACTCAGACGTTGCCACAGGGAGGGGAAATGGGGTACGGGATATAGGAAAAGGGCCATTTCTTGGGTACATCATTCTAACCCTTTTTGACTTTTTCAGTGAGCTTTGATTGTTGCTGGAGATGGTGGTGGTTCTTCCTCAGGTAGGGGTCGTGAGAGACTTAGGTACATATGCACAGTTGAGCAATGATGCTCTTGAAAAACAAGCGCAGGGGTGATGTTGCGTTCATCATATCACGCTCACTGGATATTTTTTTTTTTATATAGTTTTTTTTTTTTTTAAGATTTATTTATTTGTTCATACAGAACTGGGGTACAGGCCAGAGGCTCAGGGGTGGCGAGAGGCTTCACCAGAGACAGAGTGGGGAGAAGAACAGGCAGATCGACGAAGTACACTGCTGAGGGGAGCAGCGGGCGGGCCAGGAGAGGTCTGCCACGCCATGTGGTCACCTCCGGGGCAGGCGGGAATCGAACCCATGCAGAAGTGGCTTTACCCTCTCAGTGCTGTGCTTTAACCCGCTGCGCCACCAGGGAGGGCCTCACTGGATATTTTAAAAGAGAGAAATGATAAAAATGTGAACGCCATAAATTATGTTGAATTACTTTCAAATAAATGATATTGAGTACACATTCCCTCTGTTCTAGTTTCATTTCCTCCTCTTCCCCATCTTTCCTCCTCCCCCTCTCCCCTCTTATGGTAGATTACAAGTTATAGGGCTATATATGGACATTGCCTGACACTGACACTGGGTTTCAACAGAACAACGAATTTTTTTTTTAAGATTTATTTATTTATTTATTCATACAGAGCTGAGGTACAGGTCAGAGGCACAGGGGTGGTGAGAGGATCCACCTGAGACACAGTGGGGAGACAGGCGGGCTCTGTTGCAGCCTGTAGGTCACTCCCTGGCTGTCCGGGGGTGCTGCAGGGCTGCGGACAGCCTCCTTGTGCTAAGACTTAACCGCTTGCGCCACCAGGGAGGGCCCTAACTTGTCTCCTTTAGATGGTTCTTGAACTCCTTGTGTGCGGAGGGCATAGCTCTGCCCAGTCATCTGTCCCCTGGGCTGGCACAGGGCCTCACTCCTGTCTGAGGGGAGCCTGCCTTAGCAGAGAGCTCTGCTCAACCGCTGCCCTGCCCCCAGGCCAAAGGCCCAGCCAAACACTTCTCTTTTTGAAATGCAAGGACTGGAGTGCCTTCTTCACCTGCAGGCTATGTCCTTTCCAACACTCGTTCTTGGCCTCCATCTTCAGCTCTTGGTTCTGGGTCCAGGCTGGAGGGGCTGGGGATGAGTTCTCTCTCACCCACGGGCTTATCCCTTGTGAGGGTTTCAGACGCCTCACTCCATGTCATCACTAAGACCCCACGGAGTGCAGACTGCCACGCTGCCTCGGAGATGGACAACCGGATTCTTGTCCCTCGCCCGAGGGCCCGGGCTGGGCCTAGCTCTGTCCACACTAAGCCACAGGCTCTCACGTGAGTGCACTCAGGGTAGCTTAGCGAGTCGTTTAGGAAGGGGAGCAAGATGTCTGGGCCCAGTGTATCGGGGTGCCCGATGAGGCCAGGCGGGGTCCTGTGGGTCCCACCCAGCAGAGAGTCAGACTTAGGGTGTTGTCGGAGATGAGCACCAGTTTCATTCATAATGGTACAGGGCACCCAGTGTGAACTGGGCCGCCTGTCTGAGGGCCTCACCCATGCGCCTAAAATTCAGTTGTTCTGCTGGCGCACACAAAAGGGTCAATAACGGGTTTATTTACAAAAGGGGAAAGGGAAAGGAACAATCCAGGGAAAGAGAGAGAGACACAAAGTAACTGGAATAGCTTACCAGCTCCACTGACTTGGAGCTCTGGGAACAAACTGAGAGTCCCCAGTCACGCTTCCGGATCGCCAGAGCCAGAGAGCCGTAGAAAATGGCCCCTACTTATCCCCAAAGTCCCAGAATGCTGCTCAGCTCCGCCCCTGGGTCCCCGCAGCTCTCTCCCTGGTGCTGCTGGGAGTTGTAGTTTCCAGTCCCTGGAGCAGGGGCGGAGCCCAGAAAGCTGGAGCAGGGGTGGGGTCCACAGGACTCTGCAGAGGTCCTCCAGGACATCCTCCCCTTAACACTAACAACACTAACACACAGAAGACACTGCCCCCGATTTAAAGTAATACTTAGCACCAAAGCCTGGCTCAGTGGTGTGAAGAAACCGTGCGTCAAGCGCTGAGCAGCCGCTTGCCTCGACCCCTCTGTCTGCTCCACGGTCCTGTGGAGGCAGGCAGGGGCCCAGCCCTTGAGGTGGGCGCTGGTAGAGTAGGGCCCCGCATTTCCAAAAGCAGGAATCTTTTGCCGGGAGAACCAAGAAGGAAGGGCCATTCTTTGGTGTTTCTGGGGGAGGCTGATCCCCTAATTCACAGGGGCGCTTTGGGACGGGGTGAGCTGGTGCCTCCACCCC